TTTTTGCTTTGGCTCCATCCCTTCATTCTTTCTGGAGTTATTTCTCCACTGATCTCCAGTAGCATATTGGGCACCTACCGACCTGGGGAGTTCCTCTTTTGGTGTCCTATCTTTTTGCCTTTTCCTACTGTTCATGGGATTCTCAAGGCAAGAATACTGAAGTGGTTTGCCGTTCCCTTCTCCAGTGAACCACATTCTGTCAGACCTCTCTACCATGACCCGTCTGTCTTGGGTGGCCCCACACGGCATGGCTTAGTTTCATTGAGTTAGACAAGACTGTGGTCCGTGTGATCAGATTGGCTAGTTTTCTGTGATTGTGGTTTCAGTCTGTCTGCCCTCTGATGCCCTCTCTTAGTGCCTTCTGTCTCTCTTGGGTATAATCAAATTAATCTGATTGTTTAATCAGATTAGCTGAAATTCTAATCTTTCTTAAAAAACTTTATTTTTGACTTTAAAGAAACAGTATAGCATTAACCACAACTATGACTTTTTACATGTGTGCTATAAAATATTAAAGTATTTCTTAAAAGAAATGGGGTAATATGATAGATAATACATGCAGCATTCTATAAAATGTTCATATTGAGATTTTTTTAAGGTTATAATTTTTTAGCATTTTTTTAGCATCATAATTTGTGCAGGGACAGAAGTCCTTGAATACTTTGATGTATTTCTTTAGTCTCAGCACTTTACAGTTACTCTCTTACTGCCATATGCGAATGTTCTATTTTTCCACCAAAAAATGATCTGACTGGTCAGCAAGTCTGTCTGAATTGTTTTCCTAGGTTGGTGATTTGGGCCCTTTTGGTTTATAATGCTACCAACAATCCCAGTTTAGAAGGGAGAACCATTCAGCAGAAGCTCTTAAGAAATAATGAGTCCCTGGATGAGGGCTTGAGGCTACATACAGTGAATGTGAGACAACTGGGTAAGTGCCTTTAACTGTTTTATTATATATATTTATGTGGCTATATAACAGGTTAAGTTGAAACAAAATCAACAAAAATATTCTTCCTTTGTGTGTTTGCTTATTTAAAGCTATTTTTTTCTGATGATAAAGTTCATCTTGTTGGTGACATTGTTAAAAATCGGTGACAAGGTTAGCATAAAAGATAGCACCTTGATACCTATGAATCCAAGGGAATGAAAGAGGCAGATGGAAGTTGATACCCTATTTTAGGAACGTATTGTGAAAATACTAAGAATATGCACAAAATGCCAAGATAACCTTGACCAGAGCTGGCGTCAACTTTAGGAATAAAGAGATTGTGAGTATGTGCATATGGGATCTCCAAAGAAGTAAATCTTATAAAAGACAGTTTCTTGTTATAAAACATCCTCTTATGTTCTCTGTCTCTGTTACCATCTATGCAGAAATAGACAGGCCAGAAACCTGGGAGTCATCCCAAACCTAGATTGATTTCTCACCTGGACGTTGTTCGCATCCTAAGCTCCAGCCGTAGGTGTGGCGCAGACGTGCTATGCTCTTTCTTTATTTGCCCACATTTCTTCCCTCCCCTCTCACTGCCCACCTGAAGATCACCTACATGGTATGAAGGTCAGCCCAAAGTTGCCTCTTCTGTGAAGCCTTCTCTGACATCATCATGTACAGATAGCTGTCACCGCCTGGGAGCCTCCACCTCATGCTGTCCACAGACCTCGAGTACCGTCCATATAGAAGACTCTTGAATTTGCCTGGACTTGTTTGTGTTCTTACATATATTTTCTTTAACCAGAAATTTCCTCTGGCTTGAGAACGCATCTTATTTTTCTCTTAACATTCACTTCCCACCTCCTCCCCAGCAACCAGCACATTCCTGAGCGTTTAAATGCATGAATAAATAAATGAATGCGCCTTGATGGGCATCTTTGAGAAAAGTAAATGATCAAAAACATGGATAACAAAAAGTAAAGTAATCGTTCTAATGTTATGGTGACAGCTGATTAGGTGAATTAGTGGAGCTCAAAAGAAAGGGAAATTTTGACACATCTCCTTAGACACACACACAGGAAATTGAAGTGAGGGAAGCAGATATTCCTCAGCCTCTAAAAGCATGATTATGACTATAGCCAGAATCACAGTGCAACAAGGAAGCAGGCTTCTTTGCTTCTCTGAGGAAACCCTCATCTCTAATGTGTCAGCATACATAGTCTCCATGGGGTCTGTATCTGTAGTTCAACCAACCTTGGATTGAAAATATTTGGAGGGAAAAATTCAGAAAGTTTCAGAAAGCAAAACTTGAATTTGCCATGCCTGGCCAACTGTTTATCTAGCATATACGTTGTATTTAAAACTATGTACATAGCATTTAAATTGTATTTATTATTGTAAGTAATCTAGTGATGATATAAAGTATACAGGAGGATGTACATAGGTTGTTGCGAATGTTACTACATTTTACACAAGGGAAATGAGCTTTCTCAGATTTCAGTATACTGGCAGGGGGAGGAACGTGTTTTCTGGAACCAGTGCCTCGAGGATACAGGGGGATGAGCAGAATACAAAGGCTCCTCTTTCACACATAGGGGTCTCCACAGTGTAGGAGCTTCATGAATGTGGTTTGTACGTGACAAAGGAGCTCGTGAGGGCTCCACTTGACTCCACAGAGAGTCAGGACTGAGCACAATGCTACTTATTACACTTAAATTCCACGTTGTATTGTTCTTCTGCAGAAAGTGAAGTGAAGTCTCTCAGTCATGTCCGACTCTTTGCAATCCCATGGACTGTAGCCTACCACGCTCCTATGTCCATGGGATTCTCCAGGCAAGAATACTGGAGTGGATTGCCATTTCCTTCTCCAGAGGATCTCCCTGACCCAAGGATCGAACCCGGGTCTCTTGCATTACAGGCAGACGCTTGACTGTCTGAGCCACCGGGGAAATCCTTAGGGCTTCCATGATAGCTCGGTTGGTAGACAATCTGCCTGCAATGCAGGACCCTAATTCTATTCATGGGTCAGGAAGATCTGCCAGAGAAGGGATAGGTTACCCACTTCAGTATCGCTGGGCTTCTCTTGTGGCTGAGCTGGTAAAGAATCCACCTGCAATGCAGGAGACCTTGCTTCTGTAGAAAAATTTCTACCAACTGGGAGAAGAAAAGCTCAAAATATAGATAGGAAAATTATTTAAATGTTCAACTGGTAACTACACTACTGGTTTCCGGTAGTCTTCATGTAACGTGCTATTTTTTCAGTACTGAAATATGAGATTTTGTTGTTACCGATATAGTGATTTTATTTCTATATTTTTAGAGTGTAAACTCTGAGTTATTTATGTCCTAGCTCTCACCCAGACAGTTTTTAGACAATAAGTGGGATGATCTGAGGTGAAGGTGTGTGTGCAAGATGTGTGGCCTACAGCTGTCTTCTGCCATTCCTCCAGCAAATTGCCAGGTGAAACATGCTTTCAGAGCAACCAGAAATTGTTTCTATAAAACGTGCTGGCAACTCACCAACAACACTGTTGAGGCACTATTTTATAGGCTTTTTCTTTGAAAAATATTAAATTACATTTTGAATTTTTCAGGACAGTTTTCATTTTATGTAGCTTTTTTTTTTCCCCAATAAATCTGTTTTACTAGGGGCTTCCCTGGTGGCTCGGTGGTAAAGAATCTGCCAGCCGTGGCAGGAGATTGCAGGAGATACGGATTCAATCTCTGGGTTGGAAGATCCCCTGAAGGAGGAAATGGCAACCCACTCAAGTATTCTTGCCTGGAGAATTCCATAGATAAGAGGAGCCTGGCAGGCTCCATGGGGTCGCAAAAGAGTTGGACATGACTTAGCAACTAAACAACAACTATTTAATAATTTTATCTACAAATGACTTATGTTAGAATAATATTGTCTGATTCATTTTTATACTTGCATAAGTATGTGCTTTTATTTGATGATTTTTAAAGATACAATCTTGAATATGAAATGTAGCTAATGTTTATTTCTCATAGCTTCTGAACTTTTACAAATTCTGAACATAAAACCCTGTTATTTTAGTATTGCATGGAATAAATACCTATTTACCAACATTGTTTTGGTCTCATCTTGCATCTCTAATTTCAAGAAATAGATTGATATTTCTCATGTTGGGTCTTATTTTCACATAGGTATATGTCTGGCTGAGGAGATGCCCAAAGGATATAAATGGCCAAGCATCCGACCTTCTGAATACAGAATTTCCTGTCCAAGGAAACAGGGCTTCTTTGCTTCACGAACATGGTAATACTTTCTTAACTCTTGCCAGCAAACTCCATGTACCTACTTTCCAGAGTTACAGGCGCTGTACCATAGTTCCCATGCAATATATATTAATAGGAAAGAAGGACAGGAAGCTCTTTGTATGTCAAATCCATGTGAGGTAAAGATGAGGAAGGTAGGTTACCAAAGAAAGCATTTTTTTCACTTCAAGCAACATGCTAATTTAGCCTTCTTCAAAGAAAGATGGAGCAATTTGAAAACCAGAGGGAAGTTCCAGAGCAAAGTTGGTGAACAGAGCCAGCATATACGCGACATGACATGTATATACATGACATGCCATGACATGACTTGCATATATGTGACATATGTATATCTGTGACATGGCATGACATGACTTGCATATATGTGACATGACATATATATACGTGACATGACATGACATGACTTGCATATACGTGACATGGCGTGCCGAGTCTTTTTAAATCTTTAGAGTGGTCACCACTGGAGGGGAAAAGAGACATCAGAAAGAAGAAAGACAAGATCCAGGTTAGGGCAGTCTGCTAGTGGAGACTGTCAGGGTGTGGGTTTTTCTCTATAATCGTTGAATGGAAACCTCAGACAGGTTAATAGAGGATTCACTGATTAAGTCAAATCCAGTTCCTCATCCTCCACCCTGTTCAGTGAGAATTTTCTTGCAGAGAAATTCAGACTCTGAAACTGCCCATGTAGAAATACTTTGCCCCCACAGCTGGGTTTGACAAGTGGTGGAGAGGAAAGAAAGGGACTTGGCTTTGAATTGTGGTTCTGCCCCTTCCTGCCTGTGACTCCTTGGAAAATTCCTTGATTTATCTAAGTCTGTTTCCTCATCTATAAAACATGGATTATAATCTGCTTTACAGAGTTATGTGAAATCAAAATGAGATTTTATCTAGGAAGTTCTTAAAGTTGTGCTTGATCCATGTTAACAACTATGCTTTTAACTTTAGTAACCTGATGGAGCCTACGCTAGGATATAGGCTATTGCTAGTATTTTTTTTGCCCCTGATGCATGTGCTTGATTTTTTTTTCCCAGGAAGAACTTTTAATATGAATTTTATGTCCGTTGTTCTAGTCTTCAAATGAAACTTACCTAGATACCAAGGGAAATTCTAAAGCTTATTATTAACTACTTTTGTCAACTGTAATGTCGTGTCTGCCAAATGTTTAAAATACATTTTTTGTTTTATAGTTATCCTGACCCTGTCAACAATTCTGTAGCCTCCTGGGGGCAACCCGATATCTCCAATTGCTCAGGTAAGTGAGAAATATCTTCAGTTCTCCAAGGCAAAATAAGAGGACCTCAAGTTTCATGGTTCTCATCTTCTTTGGACATGTTCTGTTCTGTGGTATCATGTCCTGATACCACTGTGATATTAAAAGCTAAGCAAATGATTGATTGACTCACTTAAAGTAAAAAATACTGTTTTTGTTCATTCTGACTTTCTGTTATTCTGTAGTAGATTAACAATAGTAGGAAAATTTTGGAGAAGAGACTATGTAAATTAAGATTGTATGTGTGTGTTTTCAAGCAGCAAATACATACTTATTTAGTGATTCTGTGGGCATCTCACTTAGAACTATGTGTGAATATTGGTCCCTCCAAGTTATTTACCTAAGCTGCTTACAAGCACAGTTTGTGTCTCACTAAAGAGAGAAGTTAGTTTGTGTGTGTAAAGAAATACTGTTGTCCTGTGAAAATTGGGCTAAGGGGACATATAGGAAACCTGATTTGCTGCTTTACTATGAAGTGAAATGTTATACTATGTTTTGGATTCCTAGAACTGCTCAGAATACACATATAAAACTGTATGTGTTCTTCTGTCATATTTTTAGGGGAAGCAAATGAAGTTGCCAATGAGATTTTAAATTTAACTAGTGATGGGCAGATATTAAGCTCAGCCAATATCACCAGCATCGTAGAACAGGTCAAAAGGATTGTAAATAAAGAAGAAAACATTGATATAACGCTTGGCTCAACCTTAATGAATATATTTTCTAATATTTTAACCAGCCCAGACAGTGATTTGCTTGAGTCATCTTCTGAGTAAGTTTGTTTGTTTTTCTTCCAGAGAGTAATGTTTACTGGATATATGTGGTATTATGTAGTTTCTCACAGATCTGAATGCTCCGTGCCCAGCTTTCAAACTTTAAATCTCTAGAAGGTCCATTGATAATTCCCAAGATCATTCACAAAATGTACTTCAAAATTTTGTGGGTTTTTTTCTGAGAAAATAATTTACAGATTGATTAGGATTGCCCACCTGGCTAGGTAATGTAAATAGTCCCAGAAAGACATTATTGGTATTTCATTTTTTCATGTGAAAAATGTTAACTGGTGTATATTCAAAAGATAAATTGTGTATATTTATATATTTAGCATAAATATATTTTTTATATTTAGAAGATATTATATATATATAAATTTATGACACTACTTTTTGCTTGCAAAGGAGATACTTAGCAAACACTCAGCTGACATCTTTTAGGTACAGTGTGGTCATTGTTGGCTACTGTTCTATGGACTGTGACACAAAACAGCTGCTACTCTGTGACTGTTATACTTCTGAAATGAAAATGCCTAGGGAAGGGTGAAATATACCTATTTTTACATAATTCAATTTATATCCAATTATTTCATTTAATGTGTTAATATTAAGATATTTGGGCTTCCCAGATGGCTCAGTGGTAAAGAATCTGCCTGCCAGTGAAAGAGATGTGGGGGCACAGGTTCAATCCCTGGGTTGGGAAGATTCCCTGAAGGAGGGCATGGCAACCCACTTCAGTATTCTTGCCTGGAAAATTGCATGGACAGATGAGCCTGGTCGGCTGCAGTATGTGGGGTCACAGAGAGCAGGACATGACTGAGTATCTGAGCATGCATGCACACTAAGATATTTTTCTTTCTATTTTCTTTCAACCAGATTTCTTTGATGAAAATTTTATCTTTGTTTGAATGTATTCTCTAACTGACCTCATGCAAATAATAATTACAAACTTTTTTACAGGGTCTTGCAATTCAAAAAATACTTTTATTATATTATTTCCTTTGATTCTCACTCAGTGTAAAGTAGGAAGAGAATTTTTCATATGAGGAAAGAAAGGCTAACATAGATGAAAAATGGAGTATTTGTTTAGGATAGCTTTATTGTTGCTTTTCCGTAAAGCATATATTTCTCTTCAAGTTTATCTCTATAATTCAGTGTTTTAACTGATATTATTGTGGCATGAAGTAATTAACTTAATGCATATTCATATTAAGGTCAAAAAAAATTTTTTTTAAGATCAAAAGATTTAAGGATGATTTTATTTGGTTTGTATTTTGTCCTGCAGGAAATCACATGTGTGCAGGTACCTAAAATGTGTTCCTTAACAGTGCTGTTGTTATTTCTTTAGAGCTTTAAAAACAATTGATGAATTGGCCTTCAAGATAGACCTACAGAGCACAACACATGTGAATATCACAACTCGGAATCTGGCTCTTGGAGTATCGTCTGTGTCCCCAGAGACCAATGAAATTTCAAATTTTAGCATTGGACTTCCAAGCAATAATGAATCATACTTCCAGGTAACAAGTTAGTGGTTTCTGTAATCAATTAGACAAAAATCTCTGATCTTCTGCTAGTTGCTACGGCAAGGAGATCTTGGTTCTAGGGATGGAAGGTAAGTCTGAAGGCTGACTAAGATTAATAACAGCAGTAGCCATAAGGCTTGTGGACTCAGGGAGGAGGTACACTTTCAGCTTACCTTCTCCAGGAGGTGATAGTGGAATTAAATGTTAAACTATGAGTGAGTTTAAATGCCTATTGGAAGTGGGATATGGGATTAGTTTAGTCAGAAGAAAGGGCTTCCCTGATAGCTCAGTTGGTAAAGAATTCACCTGCAATGCAGGAGACCTCAATTTGATTCCTGGATCGGGAAGATCCCCTGGAGAAGGGATAGGCTACCCATTCCAATATTCTCGGGCTTCCCTTGTGGCTTAGCTGGTAAAGAATCCACCTGTAATGCAGAAGGCCTGGGTTTGATCCCTGGGTTGGGAAGATCCCCTGGAGAAGGGAAAGTCTACCCACTCCAGTATTCTGGCCTGGAGAATTCTATGGACTGTATAGTTCATGGGGTTGCAAAGAGTCAGATACGACTGAGCGATTTTCACTTTCCTTTAGTCAGAAGAAAGACCTTTTTAAGGACCCAATGATGGGAACATGCATGGTGTGTTCTCTTTGCCAGTATTTCTCAAACTATTACATTATAACCACCTAGAGAACTTACCAAAACAGATTGCTGGGGCTTCCCTGGTGGCTCAGTGATAAAGAATGCAGGAGACACAAGTTTGATCCCTGGTTTGAGAAAACCCCACATGAAGCAGAGCGGCTAAGTCTGTGTGCCACAACTATTGAGTCTGTCCTCTAGAACCTGGGAACCACAACTACTGAGCCCATGTGCTACAACTACTGAAACCTGCAATAAGAGAGAGTGAAAAGTGAAAGTTGCTTAGTCGTGTCTGACTCTTTGCCCCGCCAAGCTCCTCTGTCCATGGAATTCTCCAGACAAGAATACTGGAGTGGGTTGCCTTTCCCTTCTCCAGGGGATCTTCCCAACCCACAGATCAAACCTGCGTCTCCTGCATGCAGGCAGATTCTTTACTGTCTGAGCTACCAAAGAACCCAAGAGAAACCACCGCAAAAAGCCCACACACCGCCGCTAGAGAGTGGCCGCTGCTTGCCCCAACTCGAGGAAAGTCTGTGCAGCAATGAGGACCCAGCAGAGCCAAAAATAAATAAATAAATAAAATTTCTGGGTCCCATCTCCAGAGATTCTAATTTAGGGCCCTGAGTGGATCTCCCAAGTTTGCACTTTTAACAAGTTCGCAGGTATTTGCTAGTACTGCTGGTGTGAGGATTGTATTTTGAGAAACAGTAGTATAGAAGGCTAAGACTGTCAGATGAAAATGAGGCTGAACAAGAAATTCGGGGCCAGATTGATGGAGATCCTCTCTGACCTGTTCAAGTGACACTTTAGCAAATAATTGTCAGGTTCCTCCTATGTACTAGACAGTGTTAGCCACGTGGGCAAATGAAATGATTGAAACATCACGCTTGACACGAGAGAACACCTAAGCGGCTGGCATGTCATGCTTCTTAACTGTGGAGATAATTCAAGATAGAATATTTAAAAATCTGTATATAAGGAAGAACTTTCTTTCTGCTTTGGACCAGTGGCTCTTTTGGAGTAATTCTGTTTCACATTTTAAGAGTTAAAAAGCAGTCAGCGTCAGTCTCATTTCAGGTCAATTTGCAGGAGAACACTCTTTCACGTAATCTGTGGGTTCAGGAAAAATGGTACCCAAGAACGCTCATAAAACTTCAGCTGCTTCCTCAGTGAAAAGATACTCATTCTCAGCAATAAAACAAATGAGCTCCAGCCTTTTTTTTTTTNTTCTCAGCAATAAAACAAATGAGCTCCAGCCTTTTTTTTTTTTTTTCCTGGTAGTTATTTTTTCACAGTGTGTTTTGAGAAAAACGCAAAATCTATTAAGTGCAAATCTAATCTTTATACTTGAAAATGTCAACTGATTTGTAGATTTCTTGGTTTGAGTTAAACTCAGTACATTTCTTGTTTTGCCACATTTGCAAAACTCAAATAAGATCCAGGCCTTAAGGAACTTGTACTGAGGGCAGAGACTGTGGTGGAGGTAAAGAGGATACCAGGCTGAGTTTTGATGACGGCAGTTACTGTCCTAGGGAGTAAAGTTATCATTGCAATTTAAATATAATTACTCAACTGGTGTCTGTGTGTGTGACAGATGGATTTTAAGAGTGGACAAGTGGATCCATTAGCTTCTGTCATTTTGCCTCCGAACTTACTTGAGAACCTAAGTGAAGAAGATTCTGCATTAGTTAAAAGAGCACAATTTACTTTCTTCAATAAAACTGGACTTTTCCAGGTAAGTGTTCATTAACTTACTATTTTTCAATCAGAAATAGTTTCCTTGCTTAAAACGAAAAATAAAATTTCAGATTTCTTGAAAATATGTCAAGAGGTATAGAATAATTAATCTACTATATTTTAAAGAGTTATTTAACATAACTTTAAATACTTTATTTCTGATAATCATATGCTTATTAATAAGATGTGTTCATTTAAGTTTTTTTAATAAATCAGATTAAGACTTGCGTGATGCAATTAGAAATGGAATTTGTGGAGAAGTTATTATTTCTTATTTCCTTTGTTAAGTATTTTATGGTCTCCAGCAATTTAGATCTTCAGAGTTAAAGAAATTGTGTGCCAAAGGAAAGGTTTTTTTCTTGATTCAGCGGGAAGCACTGTTTACATAATGAGCAGCATTCTTGGCTTTAATCAGTTTTCCCATTAGTATTTCAAATGGCCTTTGGCCTTCCCACATCCCCCAAGTAGTGTGGCATTGTGCTGAGCACATATTATCATTTTTATTGGCATCGTTTCCAAATACTAGAAAGTCCCCTGCCAGCAAACACTGATGACCTCTGGTTGCCTTTGAAAGTACAGCTCATTTTGAGCAGTTTCACTGAGCCCTGTCCGTAAAAGTTTTATCTGTTAAATTGAGGGTACCTGTGTCTATCAAACAGTGTGACCTATCTGCAAGTTTGAAAGGCAGTAGAACTGTTTTTCACTGCACTAGGCGTCACGTTTAGAACAATGGCAAAGGAGGCCATGTGGAAGTAAAAGGAGGAACAGGGAACTGTTTATAGTCATTAACTCAAAACACTTTAAAATGTTCTCAGCAAATGCTTTAAGAACAAGCTATATACAATTTTTGAGTAAATTAAGAATGTAATTACATGCAATTGCTCTGAAGGATTTAATAGCTACAAATACTTTAAAATGCATTTGTTAAAGTTTTTGGAGACGTGTAACAAAGCCACCTTTTAAAATAATAGGAGACTTCCCTGGTAGTTCAGTGGTTAAGATGCCACGCTTCCAATGCAGGGAGCCTGGGTTCAATCCCTGATTGAACCATTGCAGGCAGATTCTGTACCGTCTGAGCTATCAGGAAAGCCTGGGGCCATGTTGGCCTCTCTGTGTATTAGTTGCTGAGTTTTGTCCAGGTCTTTGTGACCCCATGGACTGTAGCTCACCAGGCTCCTTTCTGTACCTGGGATTCTCCAGGCAAGAATACTGGAGTGGGTAGCCATTCCCTTCTCCAAGGGATCTTCCCCACCCAGGGATTGAACCCAGGTCTCCTGCATTGCAGGCAGATTCTTTACCATCTGAGCCACCGGGGAAGTCTTACTGCTCAGCAAAAGGAGTCAGCTATATATGTATGCATGTCCTGTCTCTTTTGGATTTCCCTGTCATCTAGGACAGGACAGTGTATTAAACTGTCAGAGAGTTCTCTGAGTTTTATGGTACATTTCCATCAGTTGTCTATTTTATACATAGTATCAATAGTGTATATGTGTCAGTCTCTTCAATTTCCCCCACCCCTCCTTTTTATCGGAAAGGCTGGGTATCTCCAAACCATAGCCCCTTTATTGAAAGAGAGCACACAAACCTAACCAAAAGCTATATTCTGGGTAATGAGAACTAGGTAGCATTGAAGGAATCCTGTAGTTATTCCAAAAGAGCTGATTTACAAGCTGTAATAGAGAAATTGAAGAGGTTCAACAAGAAATACAGAGGAAAAGAGAAAGTGATGGTAATCTATTGTTCCCAGGCATTTTGCAGCACAGATTCATTAATTTGATTTCCTGGCAACCTTAACTTTGAAGTGGTAGCTACAGACACCATCAAATGTACATTCAGAGATGGTAGAAGTTCCAGTGGAGTTTTAATCCAGTAGAATTACATTTAGGTTTACATTAGTAAACACTCCGCTTTCCCTTGTGGCTCAGCTGGTAAAGAATCTGCCTGCAATGCGGGGCACCTGGGTTCTATCTATCCCTGTATTGGGAAGGTCCCCTGGAGAAGGGAAAGGCTACCCACTCCAGTATTCTGGCCCGGAGTATTCCGTGGACTCTGTAGTCCATGGGGTCGCAAAGAGTCAAACACGACTGAGCGACTTTCACTTCACTTCACTTTAGTAAACACTAGGGCTCCCCTAGAAGCTCAGACAAAGAATCAGTAAAGCTCAGTAAAGCTCAGTAAAGAATCTGCCTGCAATAAAGGAGACCCGGGTTCCATCCCTGGGTGGAGAAAATCCCCTGGAGAAGGGAATGGCAACCCACTCTAGTATTCTTGCCTGGAGAATTCCATGGACAGAGGAATTTGGTGGGCTCCAGTCCACGGGATCGCAAAGAGTCAGACACAACTGAGCGACTTTCGCTTCACTCACTTCACTTCTAGTAAACACTCAGACTGTTGTCACGAACCTGAAAGATGAATTGATTTTTATTTTTCACACCATATTTCCTTGTTATTTCTTTAGAGGAAAACAACTTCATCTATTTTTTATGGTAGGGAAATGATCTAACTGTCTCGCAACTTTTTATGAGTGTATATTATTTAGGAGTTTGCATTGTTTCAGATGTTAACTGGCTGAAATCAGTCACAGCAATCAAGAACGAAGTTTTATGAACATTATCTTGCAGCATTGGCTCTCAGATTCCTTCAATGTATTTATTATAATAAGGGAAATAGCAGAGCTCTTTCAGCAAAGCTAGCAGTTTGATCTTATAAACAGGATGTTCTATAACTGAAGATCTTAAGTGTAAGAAGTGCTGACAGATTGCTTACTTTGGAGCACCAAAATAAAATAAAAGGGTGTACTTCTGACTAATACGCAGTTTTTTTTTTTTTTCTTTAAAAGGATGTAGGAACCAAGAAAGGCACCTTAGTGAGCTATGTGATGGCGTGCAGTGTTGGAAACATTACTATCCAGGATCTGAAGGATCCTGTTCAGATAAGGATCAAACACACAAAAACTCAGGTAAAGAAAAGCTGCAGACAGCCATGGGGCAGAGGCTGACTGTTTCGTAGAACTCTGAGGCATCTTTTAAAACATGGTTACAAGTAACTTGTACATTGTAGGTTTCCACAATGGGGAAACCAGCTAGTCCGGTAGTCCTATAATGTCACAGTAGATGATGGCAGTAGGATAAGGGAGGGACATTTAGTCTTTTCTAGGATTCAGTCATCTGCAGAGGAATGAGAGTGAAGGAAAGAGCCACTCCTTTTAAGAAACGACATATAATTTGATGCTTTCAAACTGTGGTACTGGAGAAGACTCTTTAAGAGTCCCTTGGACAGCAAGGAGATCAAACCAGTCAATCCTAAAGGAAATCACTGAAAGAATAGTCATTGAAAGGAATATTCATTGAAAGGACTGATGCTGAAGCCGAAGCTCCAATACTTTGGCCACCTGATGCAGAGAGCCAACTCCTTGGAAAAGATCCTCATGCTGGGAAAGATTGAGGGCAGGAAGAGAAGGGGGCGACAGAGGATGAGATGGTTGAATGGCATCATTGACTCAACGGCCCTGAGTTTGAGCAAGCTCCGGGAGCTGGTGATGGACAGGGAGGCCTGGTGTGCTGCAGTCCACGGGGTTGCAAAGAGTCAGACACGACTAAGCCATGGAACAACAACAACAAATAATTATTGGGCTGGCCATAAAGTTCATTTGTATTTTTGTGCATCTTACAAAGAACGTGAACAAACTTTTTGGCCAGCCCAGTACTTCAGCTAAATTAGATCTAGACACAGTGCACAACTGTGTCATTCAAGGTTTTTGTTGTCTTTTTAAAGTCAAGTGAAAGTTAAAGTCGCTTAGTTGTATCCGACTCTTTGCGAGTATAGCAACCTCCTCTGTCCATCCTCCTTTGTCTATAGAATTCTCCAGGCAAGAATACTGGAGTGCCTATCCCTTCTCCAGGGGATCTTCCTGACCCAGAAATCGAACCAGGGTCTCCTGCATTGCAGGTGGATTCTTTACCAGCTGAGCTACCAGGGAAGCCCTTTAAAAGTCAAAGATGACTGAAGCTGGGAAAGCAGAAGGGAAATGGGAGAAACAGGAGAGAGTTGGCTTATTTTTTTTGAGAGGTTAGTGCTTGTCTAAAACCTTGGCACATGTTGCTTTTTTTTTTCCTGCTTCATCTGTTTATTTGATAAAATTATGTGGGGGTTCTTATTGTCCTCAGTGGCCTAACCACAGTGTTCCCCTGTTTTATAGAGGCTCCCAGTCACAGTTTGACTGTTAGACAGGCAGGAAGGCAGGCGGGAAGTGACCTGGCTGATAAGGAGTAAGGCTTGGAATTGAAGTCGACTAAGAATTCGCCTTGCTTTGTCATGGAACCCTCTGAGACTTCCCTGTTCTACCCTTTGGCCTCCTTTGTTTCGGCTCCTTCATCGTAAAGAATTTTTTTTATCGTGGTAGGATATGCTGTTGTTCCATAAGCTAGGTCGTGTCCGACTCTTTGCAACCCCATGGACCGCAGCACGCCAGGCTTCCCTGTCCATCACCAACTCCCGGACCTTGCTCAAACCCATGTCCATCGAGTCAGTGATGCCATCCAACCATCTCATCCTCTGTCCCCCCCTTTTCCTCCTGCCCTCAATTTTTTACAATATCAGGGTCCTTTCCAATGAGTCGACTCTTGGCATCAGGTGGCCAAAGTATTGGTAGAATATACATAACATAAAAGTTACTATTTTAACCATTACTAAGTGTGCAGTTCTGTGGGTACATTCACACTTCTCTGCAACCATCACTACATCCATCTCCAGAACTTCTTCATTTTCCCCAACTGAAACTATGTCCCCATGAAACACCTCCCATCCCTCCTCTCTCAGTCCTTGGAAACCGCCTTTCTATTCTGTCTCCATGAAACTGACTGTTTTGATATCTCATATCAGTGGAATCATACAGTATTTGTCTTTTTGTGATTGGCTTATTTCACTTGGTATTTTTGAGTTCTATCCATATGATAGCATGTCATAATTTCCTTCATTTTTAAGTCTAGATGATATTCCATTGCATACATACACACACACACACACACACACATTTTGCTTATCCATTCATTCATAATGGGTACTTTTGCTGCTTCCATCTTTTGGCGATTGTGAATAATGCTGCTCTGAACATGGTTGTGTAAATATCTGTTTGAGTCCCTGCTTGTGATTCTTTTGGGCATATATCTAGAAATAAAAGAGAATTTTGAAGATGAAGTGAAATTTTAGTGTAAAGAGCTTTGCTAAATGCTTAGAATTGCACTTTACTATGAGACATAATTAGTAACCTGCAGATAAATGGATAAGGTGATGATCCCTTTGGAGCTATAGTTGATTTCCATTTGAAGTCTGTGAGAGCAAACCCCTTAAACTGCCTGCTGTTCTTGGATCGTATTACTGTGGCTAATGGTGATCTATTCCTTTGTGAAAACCTTAGCATTTTTACTCATTTCCCATATTCAAATTGTATGATTTTTTTCATTTATTTTAAACACAGTTTCACATGTTTATTCTTACATTAATATAGGCAGTGGCTCATCCCATCTGTGCCTTCTGGAATCTGTACAAAAATGGTAAGTTTTAAAATATTGGCTGTTTTAATAACAACTGAATTTTAAACCTTGCTAGACACCTCCATTTCCTTTAATTCCATCTCAGATCAGAGTGAGTCACAATGTAAGTGTGATGGCAACTGAGCTGCAAAATTTAGTTTAGGTAGCTTGGGAAGAGAATTCTTATTTCAGTAACTTTTTATTCATTGCAAGAAGAAATAGGCACACTTTAAAAAAAAAAACTACCTCTAATTTCAGTAATTATAAACTATAGCATATATTTTTATTGCCCCTTTTAGATGACTGTCAGTATACATTTGATCACATTTCTTCTAGGACACTTCTGAGATTATTTGTTGTGCACAAGGCATGCAATTTAAAATCTAGTTTCCAGACCATGGGTTATGGGGGGATATCATATTAGAGGACTGTAACTATAGGAATGGTTATAATGGATACACGTTACTTGAAAGAAATGAAGTGCCTCCAAAATGACATTTTACAGTTGAGAGAGAAAGGCAAAATTAAGGGGTAGATCACTAGGTGTAAAGGGTGGTGACGTCTGTGAAGGGAAGGGGAAACCTCGCACCTGGTTGTCTTCCCCTGGGATGCCCCTGCTGTTCTGCGACTCCCCAGTCACACCAGCGCTGGTGTAGGCTGCTTCTCAGAAATGTAATCTGAAGCTGTCCCAAACCTCCTGACACTCCTTATCCTAGCTGGAAAGTTTTTGTTGCTGTTTGGTTTCTGGTTGCAGTTTGAGAAGATTCTGATTTACTCGCTACATAGTTAAAAATGATATCACCTTGTAGTCTTAAAACACTTCTCGACTATATGTGTCATTCATATTCCATATCATACCATGAAAGTCATATAAGATGTGGTAAAGGCATTACAGTAAGCTGTCTCTGTGCATGACTTCTGCGTGCTTAATAGCATGTTCCAAGGAAACTGATCTTTTTTCTCATGTCTTCCCAGAGACATAGATTGACCCAAGGGGGTAAAAAATTGTATTGATCTCTAGAGACTTTGTTAGTATGTAACATATTTGGAAAGAAATACTCTTTTTATGGAAATTGACTTTAAAATATATTAAATAAATTACATATCAATTCATGCATTAATATATTTATGTTAAATATATATTTATATAAAATATAATCTACTAAATGAATGTCTTATATATGTCTTATAGATATACTCAATATACATACATTAAACAAGTAAAATATATATTCAAATATTTTGAATTTTAAAAATTCACGTTTTTGCAGTGTCCCTGAGGAGGCACTTCCATAGGACACAGTTGAAAACCACCACCTAATCTCTAACTGCCCACCTTGCAGTAACATCCAGGAATCGAAATTATTTTAAGTATTGGCAGTTTTCAGAACAGTATCCGTTTTGCAGACAAACTGCAAGGCAAAAGAGACTGAGACACAGTTCCCCAGGGGATAGCTCCCCCATCCTGGGAAAGGAACTGACCCGCTGGCATTTTCACACTGTTGATTTCTTCCCACAGAAAGTTCTGGATTTTGGGACACTTCAGGATGTTTCGCACACAAAGATTCAGACGCCAACGAGACAGTCTGCCTGTGTAACCACCTCACCCACTTTGGGGTTCTTATGGTAGGGGAGGAATGTCTAAACTCATTTTGAAATGATATAAATGATATAATTGTGGAAGGCGTGTTTCTTTTTGTGAGTCAGCCTTTATGGATTATGTGTTTGGGAAATTTTTTCCCTAATAATTTTCATCTATAGCCTGAAATCTTGATTCTTAAATAAGAATCTAACTGGCAGAGATCATATGTTTAAAATGTGCAAGGTAAGTATAGAAAAGAATACTGTTCCCCTTACCCACCCCCCTGTGCATTAACAGTAATCACAACCTCAGAAACAAGAAAATCACCATGAAACCCTTGAATTAACAGAGAAAGTTAGGGAGATGGGGAGAGGGAGGGAGGGAGGGAGGGAGGGAAGGAGAGAGAGAAAAGTTAAAGAGGGAGAAAATGTTGGGTTTTACTAGCATGGNGAGGGAGGGAGGGAAGGAGAGAGAGAAAAGTTAAAGAGGGAGAAAATGTTGGGTTTTACTAGCATGGAAGTGAGCTGTGAAAAGTCTCATCAAAAATCGCCTTATAGTTTATTATCATTCATATGTTTGAATGGAACTTTGTACCAGGTACTGGTGATCCAGCTGTGACCCCAGATGACTGCAGCCCTAACTGGAGATCACGCCTATTAGCAAAGACTAGTAACTAGGGTAGTGTGGAGGCCTGCCAGAGAAATGATGGGTGTGACATTTCTCTCACAACTAGACCTTCCTACCTTTCTTTCCTCCCTTTCTTCCTGCCTTCTTTCCTCTGGCCCCGGTTTTATCTCATTAGCCAGCCTGTCCAACAGTTCTAAGCAGAAATTAGATTGCATCAGTATGTTTTTTCAGCCCACCAAATTTTCAAGAGTCAATTTTCGAGAGTCATCTAAGCAGGCACTTGTATGACTTCATCCACAGACTTACACCTTCATTTTATAATCTGGTATGCTAGTGTTTGTGTAAACACCTTTCTGGGATGAAATACACCCTCCAGGTCCGAACAGCCATTGTTTCTGTATAGTTTCCATAAAGGGATCAAACCACATTTGCTTTTTAATCGAAGATGGGAGTAATGAGTGCTGAGGCAGTAAAGCTTTTCAAACTGAGTCACAGAGGTCGGGTTATGTGTATCCAATCTGTCCCTTGAATCTTCACACCCACTTCCAATGGGACCGAGAGGAAGCCGTGAGCGGCTGTGGGTGCAGTGACTGGCTCGTGCATCTGCTTGGCCTAGGGACTGATAAATGGCCGTTGTCTTGAGGCAGCCCTGCCCGTTGTGATTTTCCTGACAATCCAATACTTAAAGCTCTGAAGGATAAGACCATGTCATTTAAAAAGACTGACAGTCATAGAAAATAACTTTTTAACTTTCCTCAAATATGAATGTCTTCATTTACTGACAGACCATGAAAATGGACAATTAAGCTATAGCATGTCTTCCCTAAATGGTTTTTAAAAATCCTGTTTTCTTCCATATTCATTTTTTTGAAAAGTGACAGCATCTTTCTTTCATGAAATGCTGATTTTGCATCATTAATCATTTAGGTATACAAGCTTTAGCTTAATTCATTGAAGTATTTAACTCTGTGTGTGTGTGAGAAGGATTGTGTGTGTTGTAAATCAGTATTAGATAAATAGCTAGCAATAATACTGTTCACTGTTCAGAGATGATTTATGAGTAACCAAAGTTTGGCTTCCCATTACTTTTTTTTCAAGTATTGTTTACATTTTGTTATGAATTTATAATTAATATTACTTTTTCTGTTGTCATTTGATGAAATAATTAGTTTTACAGGTATAAGGGTATGTGCGTTTTTCACTGCTCTTTTTCCATTTTCCATTGTGGCTGCTTTTATAGGATTATAAAGTTCTGGAAGTAAAACTTTCCAGAATTTATCTTTTCTGGTCATGTGCCCACATCCTTTCAGCGTTTCCAGACCACCAAGACATTGTTAAGAGTCTTTCTTGGTATACAAACTCTTTATTCACTTGTGTAAGATATTCCTTGAGTCTAGTTTGCCCCATGACACATTCACCATATGAGAAATTAAAAAACATACCCCAGATTCATAATTATATCTCCTAATCTACAAACATATGAACATTTTCACATCCTCTGTTACATGTATTTGTAGTAAAACCGACTTCCCTATTTTTTTATGTTAGTATGTTTTCATATTGGCTCGTTCAGAGGAACTAATATTTTCATATTCTTCATTCTTTAAAAGTACGAAACAGCATGAGAATTGTGTTTAAATGTGTAACCGTAAAGAGCATCATTTTATTCAATTTACATTTTAAACTGTGGCTCTAATCATGACTTGCAAGTCAACCACATCTAATGGAGAGCCGTACGTTCTTCAAGAGGTAATAATGAGTCCTTTGGAGGTTCTCAAGATATTTCTCTGCTCCATCAAATCCTGGAGTAACCAGAATTTTGATCGGGGTAACCTACCAGTGAATCGAGTGGCCTGGCTCAAACCCACCCCATGTGCCAGGGGCATCTCAGGTCCTCCCAGTGGTTTGAGGGGTTCCTGGGAGAGGTGGGTAGGGATGGTCCTCTCTGATCCTGAGTCCCTGTGTCTGCTGAATTCCATCACTTTGTGCATTTCTTGCTATCACACAGGTACCATTACCTGCTCCTCACTGTGTCAACCGAACCTGGAATTAAGTCCCACTCGTGGTTTCACATAGATATACACTCATACAAAATGACTTCCTGGAGGTTTTTGTATGAATAGCAGATTTTATTGACATTTTGGTGACAATTAAAGAAAATTAACATTACAGAATGAAAAACCTATAAACTTTTTTTTTCCCCATAATTTAAGACCTAAAAGTTTAAACCAGATATTCCATGTTCCTTCTCCAAAAAGGCTCCGTTTTCAAACATCTGTGTAATGGAGATGCCTTTCTCCTCCAACCAAGGCTTGATTAGTTGGTCTTAACTCAAGATTTATCCCTAGTCCAATTCTCCATTTAAGGAAGAAAAGAAAGATTTTCCTACCACGCCTGAATCTTGCACGTCTGCCTCCTTCTGCCCAGTGAAATTAAGGCTTTGTATTCACATGCAAAAATGCTTACTTCTTTTTAATCACAACAGCCTCTAATACTTAAAAAGAAAAATTTATTTTCTGCGGTGCTGGGTCTTCGTTGCTGTTGGCAGACTTCTCGTTTTGGTGGCTTCTTTTGTTGCAGAGCATTGGCTCTAGAGCGCAGGCTGAGGAGTTGTGGTGGACAGGCTTTAGCTCCCCTCAGCATGTGGAGTTTTCCCGGACCAGGGATCGAACCTGTGTCCTCTGCGTTGGCAGGTGGATTCTTATCCGCTGCACCACCAGGGAAGTCCAACCCCTAACACTTTTAAGTAACAGCTTTTCAAGTGTATAAAAATCAAAAAAACTATGACAACACCCTGCCACCCCCCCCAAAAAAAAAACCTCTTGGTGGTTTCTCATTTATGAAAAAGGAAAAGGAAAGACCTTATATGTACCAACCTTTGAAATGAGCACAGTAAGAACCTCAGCACTATTCTTAGAACTGGGCAGCCACGTGCCAGCCAGCCTCTGGCTGTCTTGGATGAGTCCCACCCTACCAAGCAAAGAAGCCAGGGCCCACCTGAGGGCTTGGACACATGGGCCACAGTGGCCTGCATTTGTGCTTGGGACCCCAGCCCTGCAAATGGTAGGAAGGGTCTAGTTATTTATAATGCAAGACAATGACCTCCTTTTCAGTTTTTGTTAGGGGAACCAGTGGTTTTGCTCTTCAAGTTATACTGATGTGCAAAGAGCTTGGGTAATGGGTAATGATAAAAAACCATGTGCAACTCTCAATAATGCTACATTTTTGTTTCATGGAGTGATCCACAAGAGTGCAATAAGTGGAAATTTCAGTACAGGCATACCTCGGAGATATTTTTGTGGGTTCAGTTCCAGACCACTGCAATAAAGCAAATATCAAGATAAAATGAGTCATACAAATTTTTGGGTTTCCCAGTACATATAAAAGTTATGTTTGTACAGTACTGTAGCCTGTGAATGTGCAATGTCATTATCTCTAAAAGAAAAAAAATATAGATACCTTACTTTAAAATATTTTATTGCTAGAAATTGGTCACCATCGTCTAAGCTTCAGCTTATCAAGCAGCAACATCAAAGATCACTGATCGCAGGTCACCATAACAAATATAATAACAATGAACTGAACAAGTTTTAAATAGATGAGAATTCCCAAAGTGCAACAGGAGATCCAAAGTGAGCAAATGTTGGAAAAATGTCTTAATTCAGAGTTGCCACAAATGTTCAGTATAATGTTTCAATGTAAAAAGAATGCAGTGTCTGTGAAGTGCAATAAAGGCAAACACTTAAAATGAGATCCGCCTGTATTGATTTACACTGTTGTTGTTAGCCCCTAAGATTGAGTTGCAATTCTAAGTGTTGTCACGAAGCTTCTACTAAAACAAAACAGCGTTCTCATAAAAAGAGATTATTACAGCTGTTTCTCATGTTTTCGGTAGGACCTTCAAGGAACTGCCTCACAGTTGGATGCAAAAAACACTAGAGTCCTCACCTTCATTACCTATATTGGGTGTGGAATATCTGCCATCTTTTCAGCAGCTACCCTCCTGACATATGTTGCTTTTGAGTAAGTTTTTTTTTTTTTCTATCTGCCAAATCCAGAGCAGACTGTTGCAAAACATGAATACGAGAATTGTCTCAGCTTTTAAAAACATATATACACCTTGTGAATCATGTAGGATTCAGTTTTAATGGTCAGATTTCTCATGAGATGTATCATGCAACAGGAATTTCCCAGCTTTAGAATCTTAATTTATAGTTACTGTATTTCTATTGATAAAATATATTTAAGCCTGTTACAGATGATTAGTATTTAAGTAAAGAACAATTGTATGAACTGCTTTTTATGGTAAAAGATGAAAACATTTTTGTGAAAATACAAGATGAAAAGATGGAAAAAAGATGAAAGCAAAATAAATCTTATAAAATTGGTTTTGAAACAGGAAGTCTTTTTAAAAAAGGACCCTGACCTCATTAGAAATCAAGAAATTTCAACAAATTTTCGGGAAATTGGTTTTTAACAAAAATATTTTTTCTAATCTATAGTTTTTCCTGGATTAAAAAAAAGTCAATCTGTTGTAACCAATTAGAAATTTTGGAAACAGTTTTGAAATAAGATTAGTATTTTTTTTTAAATCTTTATAATTTGCCTGGTACTCATATCTTTGGCCCCCCTCCCAGTGGAACCATGTCATAAAGATGGTACTATCTAGGTTATTGCAGAGCTGTATAAGATGTGAATTAACTGCCTGTGCTTAAAAGATTTATTTACAGTGTTATTCTCATATATCTTTCTATTGCTTCTCCTTTTTTTCCTAAAGAAAATTACGAAGAGATTATCCCTCCAAAATCCTGATGAACCTCAGCACAGCCCTGCTATTCCTGAATCTCGCCTTCCTCCTGGATGGATGGATCACCTCGTTTCATGTGGATGGACTTTGCACGGCCATCGCAGCCCTCCTGCACTTCTTCCTTCTAGCAGCCTTTACCTGGATGGGACTAGAAGCTATTCACATGTACATTGCCCTGGTGAAAGTATTTAACACTTACATTCGCCGGTACATCCTGAAATTCTGCATCGTTGGCTGGGGTAAGCCTCCTGCATTTTTTTTTCCATCCTGGAAATCACTAGGTTCTCATAGGAAGATCCTATTTTGAAAGAATAGGACTGCTAAAAGAAACTTCAAGATTGTGAATGATATGCATTTGATATACATAACCGAAGGCAGGGGTGTTTTTAAAACTGTTCCACAGTCCTCACAAAAGTCACTATTAAAGGGGAAAAAAAAAAAAACCTTAGCTCTTGAGTCACCACCAACTTATTTCCTGTGTCCAGATCCAGCCCACCCAAGTCTGAAGAAGCAGCTGGCAGACAGTGGTGGATTTCCATTATATTTCAAAATAGAAAGGCCAGCTCAGACTCTTAACTATTCTTGCCCCTAGACACATGCCCATGTCTTGGAAACCTGAGCGAAAAGGTTATTTTTGTGAGTGCAACCAGAATACTGACAGAATTCTTGCTTTGAACTTCTTACCATGATTCCTCAGCCAGACACAGATGGCTATGTTAGGCTGTTTACAGTCTTCCAATCAGGCTCCTTCTTTTATCTGGGTTCTGTATTGGGGCAGGCATTTTCAAGCTTTATCACAAATCTCTTTTTCAGATGGCAGGGGGGAAATGAGACATTTGCAAGGTGTTCAGTACCCCCTTAGGAGGCAGTGAAGGCACCTTTCAGGGAATTCAGGTGGGGTAGCATTTCCCCACTGAAATATACATGCAAATCTGTATAGATTCTCATGAGAGAAAAGAGATGACTATAAAGACTTTCTGCCCCCACTGTTTCCCCTCAACTTATTCTGAAGATTTTTCTTTCTATAGAAAGGGGGAGAATGAAGCTGCAGTTGCTTTCCAATCTTAACTTGGTCAGTCTAACAGGTGTCATTCATGAAACTACATTTTCTGGTGCTACGTTCAGGATAGGGCAGGCCCTTATACTCTAGTGGGTACCAGCAAGCCAACAGAATACTTAAGATTTAGATTGTTTCTAATTAGAGTTGGATGTTTCATACCACAAAAGGGATTTTATTGTTGTTTTCAACCAAGTTGCCAGTTCTAAGAAATTTGATTTTGTAATATGGAGTGTTTACTTTCTTTTCTTTCCCCTTGCCATTTTCAGTCTTATAAAGCAATTTCAGATGCTGCAGAAAAGTTGTTTCTGTCATGGTTTCATTATAACAGGTGTGCCTGCCTTAGTTGTGTCCATTGTTCTTGCGAGCAGAAAGCAAAATGAAGTCTATGGAAAAGAGAGTTATGGAAAAGAACAAGGTGATGAATTGTAAGTAACAAAAGTTTGTTGGGAATTTATCTGTGATGCATATTATATGCTTCGTTTTCCAAAGTTTATTGTGAGTTTTCATGCCAATAGTGAGCTTCTTATTTTGGAAGGTTAAGTTGTATTTGCATGTCTTTGCCAAGGCCTCTGCTATACCATACATGAATTCAGTTGAAAACCCTGAACTGTGTGAGCTGCTTTTATGAGTGTCGTACTCTTCTCATCTGGAGTTCAGAAGAAGCTTCAGATTCTCTCTTCTAGACTTAGAAGACCCAGTCTCTTTGAGGAGGTTTCCTAATACTTCCACCTCGTGAAACCACATGCATCTTCCAGAGAGTTAAGTAGCAGCATCAGACAGTGAGGGATTCAGTGACAATATGATTATTGTGTGAAAGTGGAGAGAACGGATCTTGAATAATTTGAAAAATTCCCTTTACACTGTGAGATTATTGAGGCTAAGATTTTTAAACTGTTCAGTTTGGGCAGTTAAGTTTTCTTGTATTTTATGTAGCACATAATAGGTACTCGGTATTATTTGTGGGTTGATTGAATTACTGAATGAATGAAGAGCTTACTCCTAACTGTGATGCCACATTTCTGTGCTCATTTCATGGATGGATATCACTTTAATATCCAGTCAGTATCCAGTCCTGTTTCTTTCCTCCTGGTCTTCCCTTTTATGTTTCCAAAGTAACATTCAAAAGCCCCCAACAGAGCTAGTGGGAAGCAAAGGATCCAAGCCAGGAATTTCAGATTCTAGGGGGACTAGAAAGAAAAATTAGCTCCAGAGGCAAGCTGTATCATTTAGCAGACCTTTAAAATAAGCTATATTAAAGGTACAAGTCAGTGCATAAGTTCTAAATAAGGGAATTTAAAAAGTATGTGAGCCAACTTTTACTGGCCTTTAAAGTATGATTCAGTAAACTATTGTGCCATCGACAGCTCTCATTAATTGAGAATTTACTATATGCCAGGAATCTTGTTAGGTTATAGGACTCAAAGTTGTTCAAGACAGCTTTTGCCTTTGGGATGGTCATGTTCTACCATGGTAGACACAACCTACCAAAATGATGACCATATGCTTTAGAATTTGAAGATTAACTGTCTTAAATAATTCATCTAAATATTTTTGGTACCTAAGAACTTGAATAGTATTAATTAGGTACTGGGGCATCTGCAAATTGCAGTATTTTGATTTTACTTTTAGTACCCTTTAAAATTACTTTCATCTATTTTCAGATATATATCATTCTGAATAGCAAGTGTATCTTTCCTCATCTCACAAGGATGTTATGATGTAAGCTTTTTATTTGTGCATTAGAAGTTTCAGCATTAATAACAGCATAACTCTGTTATTAGAATAACAGAATTATACAATAAGGTTGTGCCTCAATTAGACCAATTATATTAATAGGAATTACTCTGTTCCTAATAATGGAATCCACAATTATGTATGTCTTAAGTAAGTAGTACTCTTTTCACATAATAAGAAACTTGGAAGAAAGCAACAACTAACATTAATTTTGTGGCTGAAAATGTTAGGACCAGCAATCCTACAGCTCTCTTGGTCTTCGTTTCCTGGATAGAAGATGATGACTTCAGCCACAGAGCTTGCATTCATGTTCAAAGCAGAAATAAGAAATAAGGGCTTTGCCAGTGAGTCTGTCAGGAATACCTCTCTCGAAATCCCTTAGTGGACTCTGCTACCATATCATTTTGTAGAACAGTGTCCACATTCACTCAGTCACTCAGTGGTGTCTGGCTGTTTGTGATCTCACAGACTGTAGCCCCCAGGCTCCTCTGTCCATGGGATTCTTCAGGTAAGAATACTGGAGTGGGTTGTCATTTCTTTCTCCAGAATGTCCACATGGCCACCATTTAAATAACAAAGGACACTGAGAAAGTTTCCCATCCTCTGGAGTGGAGGCCCATAAGAGAAAGGGGATAGATGTGGTTTGCTAAGTTGCTAAGTCCCTTCAGTCGTGTCCAACTCTGTGCGACCCCATAGACGGCAGCCCACGAGGCTCCCCCGTCCCTGGGATTCTCCAGGCAAGAACACTGGAGTGGGCTGCCATTTCCTTCTCCAATGCAGGAAAGTGAAAAGTGAAAGTGAAGTCGCTCAGTCCTGTCAGACTCTTAGCGACCCCATGGACTGCAGCCGACCAGGCTCCTCCGTCCATGGGATTTTCCAGGCAAGAGGACTGGAGTGGGGTGCCATTGCCTTCTCCATAGACGTGGTTTAGGGTGAGCCAAACAATAATGTTTTCACATCAAGTCAGAGTTTAAGAGGCTACCTTGTTTTCTTAATTGTTGACTTAAATAACTAGGTTTTAAGATAATGACTGTCCAAAAGAAAACAAAAACGAAAGACTTATGTAAACACCCCCCCAAATGAAGTGACTTCCTAAAGGCATGTGAGGGGCATTTGAGGAAGGCCCACCTGTAAAGTCCGCAGAATCCCAAAGTAAGCCTCTTCGGTAAACAGGGCGTGATGATTCATCTCTTGCTTTCTGTCTCTTCTGCTCTAAGCTGCTGGATACAGGATCCTGTCGTATTTTACGTGACCTGCGCCGGGTATTTCGGACTCGTGTTTTTCCTGAACGTCGCCATGTTCATCGTGGTGATGGTGCAGATCTGCGGGAGAAACGGCAAGAGAAGCAGCCGGACGCTGCGGGAGGACGTTCTCCGCAACCTGCGTAGCGTGGTCAGCCTGACGTTTCTCCTGGGCATGACCTGGGGGTTTGCTTTCTTTGCCTGGGGACCTCTGAATGTCCCCTTCATGTACCTCTTCTCCATCTTCAACTCCTTACAAGGTAAGATAACTGGTGCGTGCCTGCTAAGTCACTTCAGCCGTGTCCGACTCTTTGAAACCCTATGGACTGTGGCCCACCAGGCTCCTCTGTCCATGAGATTCTCCAGGGAAGAATACTGAAGTGGGAAAAAAAAAAAGAATACTGAAGTGGGTTGCCATGCCCTCCCTCCAGGGCATCTTCCCCATCCAGGCATGGAACCCACATCTCTTATGTCTCCTGCATTGGCGCGTGGGTTCTTCACCGCTAATGCCACCTGGGAAGCCCAAGATAAATGGTACCCACACCGTTTGCTCTTGCATATTTGAACGTATGTGCAGACAGCTTCACTTTTGGACAGACGCCATGTGGCGTTTCTAAGTCACTCTTCCGAGTGCTGAGCACAGTTCCAGGCCCAGAGTGGGTGCTCATCAAAATGGCCTTGAATGAAGTGAAGAGGTAGAATGTTAGTTTGTTTTCAGTGTTGTATATACCAAGCACCTAAAACTATGCCTGGAAGATAGTAGGTGCTCGGTAAGTGTATCTTGCTCATGAGTCAATATGAGAGGTGTCCTCGGGAAGTGAAAGGTAGGCACAGATGCTTCCTGCCTTATTTGCAGTTTTGCTGAGTATTGGTGCTCTTCATGGAACCATGTGGATGTAGCATTCTTGGCCAGAAAAATCTTTAGCCTCTGCCAGGGTCAGAGAAATTCACTTTGATTCCTTGGCTCTAAATATAAATACCAACAATCTAGTTCAGAAATGCTTATTTTTTTTTTCCCCTAAGATATGGCAGTCAACTCAACAATCTAATAAATGGCTTGTTCTGTTTAGAAATACAAGATTTATTTCAAGGAGTTTCCTGTAATGCTTCTAAGTCTGTAATACACACCCTAGTGTGCTCTAGGGTGAATTTAACTTTTTAAACCATTTTTATTAAAGTACAGTTGATTTACAGTGTTGGGCCAATCTCTGCTATATAGCAGCGTGGCTCAGTTACATACATATATACAACCTTTTTAAAAATATATTCTTTTCCATTATAGTTTATCCTACAAGAGATTGGTTGTAGTCCCCTGTGCTATGCGGTATGACCTTGTTGCTTATCCATTCTAAATGTAATAGTTTGAATCTATTAACCCCAGACTTCTAGTCCATCCCTCTCCCTCTCCCTCCTCTTTCCCCACTGGCAACTCGAAGTCTGATCTCTACGTCTGTGAGTCTGCTGTTTTATAGACAGTTTCATTTGTGCCATATTTTAGATTCACATGTAAGTGATATCATGTGGTATTTGTCTTTCTCTTTCTGACTTCACTTAGTATGATAATCTCTAGTTGCATCCATATTGGAGCAACCAGCATTATTTCATTCTTTTTTATGGCTGAGTAGTATTCCATTGTATATATGTACCACATCTTCTGTCTATAGACATTTAGATTGTTTACATATTTTGGCTACTGTGAACAGTATTGCTATGAACCTAAGGGTGCATGTGTCTTTTCAAATTATAGTTTTGTCTAAGTATATGCCCAGGAGTGGGGTTGCTAGATCATATGGTAATTCTATTTTTTAGTTTTCTGAGGAACATCCATACTCTTGTCCATAATGTCTGTAGAAACTTACATTCCCACCAACAAACACTATTAGGAAGGTTCCCTTTTAGGATGAATTTAATTTTGAACCTTAAGTGAATATGAAGTGTTTTTTTCGAAATTCAGTAGCATCCTGTAAGACATTGATATACCCTGTATTGTCGTTAAAACTCCCTAATGCTGGAGGCACTATGAAGTCCACAGGCAGTGGGAATGAGGTGACGAAGTTTGGCATCTTTTAGAGCAGGGCATTACTGCTGGCTTACCTAACGCTGCTGCTCATGCACGTGAAGGTTTGTGGGGATGGAATAGCTGACTAAAGCTGAATGAATCTGAGCTGGGATGGAAAGTGTGGAAATCAGGTCTGTGCTACTCACAGGTGAGATGCCTGAGCAAATGCTCGCAGCAGTTGTGTTCTAAGAAAAGTCTGTATTTACCTACAGAAGAGTTTTTACTGCTTTGTATCCACGTATCTGTTTTGCTTGTCTTCCTCAGTTTCCAACTAGTTCATGAGCTCTTGTTGTTTTAAAAACCTGCCACTTAAAAGGTGCTCAATAATTACTTGATGAATCAATCACTGCATTGGTAGATGGAGAAGGGAGGAGCTTGGGGGATGGCCTAAATTCAATCTGAGACTCCTCTGGCATAAATATGCATAATTAGTTGAGCAACTTTTATTCAGATTAATTCTCCTTTGACAGAGCAGCTCTGTGCGCTCATTATCCTTAGTCAATAAAATAATCAGCCGCAAGTGAACGTCCAGAAGTTGGAAACTGAATAGGTAGCATATGAATACATCTGCGCTGGGATCCAACTTTGTAAAGTGAGTTTTCCTCTGTTTAATCTCTTCTATAATATGCAACATTAAAGTGCCTAGACAAATATTGACAGAAATATCCATTAACATTAGAAAATTCCATGGTTTTATATTTCAGGATTGTACATGGAAGGCACATTAATCTGCCAGCCCAATCTTGTTTTTGCTTTTATAATTTCCTGGCAGTTTCAGCAATCTGCAACAGTTACAGTTGTCTGTTCAACTCTGTTTCCATTAATGAGACTCGGGATGTTTTATTTTTCCCAGCATAGGTCTCCTCTCAGGAGGGAAAAATGTTGTAAACCATCATCAAGTCAGTGTTCTTCATAAATCACTGACTTTTAAGGCTGATTTTAAATGATATAAATTCAGAACAGATTTCTGCACATTCAATGATATTAAAAACACCTTCTAAAAAGAAAATTTAAATTAAAAGGGAATGATACAGAGCACATGAATCTAACAATCCCTTACTGGCCAGACTTGTACAACAGCTTCTTCAGACACTATGGAAAGTCATTTAATGGTTTTTATTTGCATCATTTTTGGAACCTGTGAGAGGCCTAGTGGTTATTATAAGTATATGATTTATTTAAAAAAGCATATGGAATTTAGACAGTTTAAAGAAACAATTCCATGAATACATAATGAACTCAGGTTGAACTTAGGCAAGCTATGTCGTGTCGACTTCTTTATGATATTCTTTATTCAGGCCCCCCCAAAATAAAACTTAGTCCCTGTGTCTCATGGGGCTTATATGGTAGTAGGAGAGACTGAATACTGAGTGGGTAGCCTTTCTCTTCTCCAGGGGATCTTCCCAACCCAGGAATTGAACCCAGGTCTCCGGCATTGCAGGTGGGTTCTTTACCAGCTGAGCTACAAGGGAAGCCCTAGGAGAGACTGATGTTAATAAAATACGACACCATATATAATATACGTGGTGGTGTTGAAAGCACGTGACAGGAGACATGATGCCTAAACTGAAAGCTGAAGGATCAATAGGAATTAACTAGATGAAAGGTGGGGGTAGGAATCGGGTAAAAACTATTTCAGGTAGATGGCATTTCTTGTGCAAAACATTTGCTGTAATTGGTAAGTGTAGCATATACTCAAGGCATTAAAAGAAAGATCATATCAGCTGAGAACCAAGAAAGAGCAGGAGAGTGACAGAGCAGTGGGTGGGATACAGAAGGAAGGTAAAAGCTCTGTATTTTGATCTGTGTAAGAGCATTTAGAAGTTCTTGAAAGGTTTGTGGCCTGTGGACTGATATGATCGATACACATTTTGTAAAGATGAAGCTGGACATAATGTGGAGAATGGATTACAGCAGCCATGTAGTGTCTGTAGATGAGAGTCTGTGGCAATGGCCCAAGTAAGCTAAGATGGTTCAGTATTTTAGACTGTGATGGGAATGGAGGAGCCTGAGATACGTGAGCAGCAGAGTCAAGAGAATTTGCAGGTGTGCCAGTAACGAAACACTTAGCATTGGTTTGGTCATTAAAGTCTTACTTTTCTGCACTGATGAGGATAAGAAAGCTTCATGTAAATACAATGTTGTAGTGACTTGAAGCCTGGAATTGCAAGAATTAGCAATGGCCAAAGATTCATAATGTAATGTAATGTTCTGAAACCTAAAATCACGCCAAGGTAAATTTTAATTTTCTCAGATTTAGCTTATAGTTGAACATCTTAAAATCACCAAGATCACAAGTCACTCTTGAGGGTTACAGAGGTGAGGTCGGGCAGGGAGGACCCAAGATGTGTTTGAGAAGTGATGTCAGGTCATGTGTATCAGAGGAGTGGCTTTTGCTAGTAGATTTCTTTTCACTTTTGTGTATGTCTTTAAAAATTTGTTTCAAAGATATTAAAAATCCATTTTATCTTTCAGGATTCTTAGAAATACATGTGTATATGTGTGTGTATACAAAGACATATACATGTATAATTATGTCAGTACTCATATTTATGTAGCTTATTATTAAAGCTTTATATGTGTATTTTTATTTCCAAAATATATCTTTATTTTTATGAGTTTTTAAGATACATTTATAATTGCACAGTTTAGTTGCAAAAAAATCATGCTAGCCAGATATCATAAAATTATTATAATCTGTGCAGTTCTACCTAAAAGTTTACCTACTTGAATAAGCAAATGAAGTCGCTTGAATCCAGGCTGAAACCAGGTTTACTATTTCCTGCTTTTCCACCATATATTGCTTTGTTCTGTTTCTCTTACCTACTTCATTTAAGTTATATACTAATTATTTCATTGCATTTTTTTATTCTAAGATGAATAGATAAATATACCTTCTCTTAACATGGCACAATTATGTTTCTCTTTTTTCTCTCTTTGATGCTTTCCTGGGGTGAAAGTGGCAAAGCATTTTATTAGACATTTTAATTTATTCTCAACAACTTGAGAAAATCATATAGTATACAAATTGCTATTCAAAAGAGAACAGATGTTTGACAAAAATACATCATAATTCACATGCCTGAGAACATTAGCCTATACATCAAGAAATATAATGCAATTCATCCTAAAGAAGTAAAAGGCAGTTCTCTGGTTTCTGGGAGGATCTTGCCTAGAGTCCTCTTGGGCATCTATAATATA